ATATATTCGATATTTCTGGTAGGTGACTTATTGCTGGGAATTGAAAGGATTACCGACCACATGGAGAGTGTAAAATATATATATGATGTTATAAATAATATAAAAATGGTATATATATATACAGGGTGTCCGCAAAGTTGGGGTTTTCCTTACCACGACTGTAGATCTTGAAAACATAAGCAGTTTTTCTTAGTACCATATACACCAATGTCTCTAAGGGAAACGAGATAAAGGGCTCTGCACATCAAAAATATCTGAATACTGTCCTGTAGCCGCGACCATCCCCGAGTGGTACTAGGACACTAGATCAACCCGACGACATAACTGGGTCGGGGTCAGTGTGTCAGGTCAGTATGCAACCTCAACCGACGGTTACGGTCACGCGGTGTAGAGGTAATCGCGTAGACGAGAATCCCTCAACAAGCACTAGAGACGTGGAAGTATCAAAAATAAAGTGTGGCAAACGCTGCGTGAAGAGGGGCTGTATCCGTTTTCACGTCCAACGTGTACAAGCCCTTCAACCTGACGATTTTTCCAGCAAGAGTGCGGTTTTTGTGAGTGGTGTTTGCATCAACATGACAATAATCCGGACTATTTATCTCAATCACAACTGGTTCAACAATAATGTCTATGTGAGTATCCAGATCCCACATTCTCTGCTCCTCCTTGATGACGTGTTGCATACATTTTTGCCAGTTCTCGCTGGATATGTTGTTGATAGCATTTTGTAACAATAACTTGACATCCGCTAACGTGAAGGTTGTATTGTTCCTTGCTATTCCGCATGTGACTTGCGCCCATATCTAACTCGATTGGATTTAGTTCACAATGATAGGGTGGTAAGCGATGAACAATAATGGCATGCTGGCGAGTCATTTCATCTATAGCGTACAATATTGATGTGGGTTTGTTTTGCCTAGCGATATTAAGGAGTTCAATTCTAAGCATTTGTTTCCTGTATGTAATGTTTTTTGGTCTTGAGCCAATTTATTATGTCACTTTTTCGCCATGAACTAGTAGGGAACTTTTCTAGTCGGCGACTGTGATATGGAGCATTATCCATTACCACGACTGAAGCAGAAGGGTTATCCGGCAAAATGCTTTTGAAACATGCTTCACATCTATTTGCATCCATATCGTCGTGATAATCTCCAGTCTTTTTGGACTCAAATGTCAGTAATACCTTTGTCCAGAAACCCTTCATCGCTGCGAATATGTGTTACAATAAGCCTCCGCCCTTTACCTGGAATGAAGTTTCAATAAATTCAAGCATCTAGAAGAACAGTAAATGAAGGATATTAGTCTTCTAATGACCGTACTTTACATGACTTTCTTGTATTTCCTTTTTTTTTCTGGTAAGAAACTAATAAAACCCTTTTCATCCGTTTAAGTCACGAATCAGTTTATCTTTGTTTTTTTTTCATGAGTAATGGTTGTAACAGAAAACTGTTTCTTTGGATCCCAAGTCCATTTAACTAGGAAAAACTAAATTAAGTTTTTAAGACCTGGCGATTGAAACGTATAATCCGATTCTGGTGATTAGCAATGGATGGATAATAATGGATATATAATCCTTGTCTCCTAGAATCAGTGGAGTCATTAAAGTATGATTATAATTATTTACATTATATATGTAGGAAACCAAAGATGCAGATGTCCAAAATGAATAATGCTGAATTATAAAAATACACAACACTTATGAACCTAGAAAAAGTCCAAACTTACATGTAGGTGCTATAGAAAATCCATCCTTGAAGGGCCTGTTGACGACTGGTAATATTCATATCTTGCCATATCTTTGGCGTAGTGTATCCTTCATTCACCCACGTTTCATTGAGATAATATATCTTCCTATTTTCGTATCTGTACTTCCGCATTTCCGCTAAGTACTTACGTCGCCATATCACAAATTACTTCCTCGTCCGCTTGAAGTACCCTGTTCAACTCATGAATCGTTTTTTATATTGTAGGCATCTCGTTTAGGAAAAAAGAATGTATGTGTCTGCGAACAGCATATTTGGTATCTTTATCCAGAACGATTTTCTTCCTTCCCCTCGTACTACCACTAGTCGGATGTTCTTCTCGTTTAGTTGAAGTTTTTCTATTGATTATCCGAAAAATTGTTCTTTGAGACACTTTTGTTAAGATGCTACAAAGTAAAACAGCATCCTGAACACCTAATGTTTTGTCTCGCGCACGAAGTCCGTCGTAAACGTTGTGTATTAACTCTCTCTCCCCAGTAGAAAAGGTTCTACACTTTTTTTTTTGGTGTCAAAATTTCACTTTGCCCATCCATTATGTCTCGTCTATTATCAATAACTATTTAATCGCGTTCGAACTATTCTCCTTTGGCTAGGCCGCTGGAATGATCCGCGAGTTGTCATGTTAGCAGTGGGGTAGGGACAACGGAGATATACACCAATCGCGATAATCGGTTGCTCGATACCTGACAGAGCTGTCATGTTGTTCTTATAGTCGGCAATTCCACGTTCGAAACTACCAAACTGATGACTTACGAACTCCTCTCTCGTCAGTCAGAGTAGAAATTTTACATTGTGTCACATTCATAGTCCTACTACCATTTGTCCATCTGAATATAAGTTTCTTAGTTCTTACTAGTTTTACATAATATAGTTTTTTAAATGGATAGGTAAATTCATTTTTGAAATCTGGCAACTGCGGCTTTTCGACAGCATAGAAAGCCAGGAATTTCGTACTTTTGGTATAGGTATGGAATAAGATGAAGCTCCAGAAATCCTGAATATAGCGTTGGGCTGTCATATTGACTCTGATGAAAATTACTGGTGATCTGCTACCAATGTAACCCCATACCATAACTCCCATTGTATGGTGAAACTGACGCTCTCTGTCAAATTGTGTGTCACTAAATACCACCACTGATTAGCGATGGCTCGAGTACTACTGAATCGGTCTTAACGGCAGTCTTATCGCTCTGTGGTCCCTTTGGGACGTCCAGAACCCCTAGCTCGCTGTCCTTGGCCTTCCTCCTAGAAATATCTCTTATCCATAGACCGGCTTCACGCAATTCTAGGCATTTTGAGCAATCACAAAAAGACTTCTCAATCAGCTACACTAAATTTAACATTAAACTGACACCGTAAATGTGCGAAAACTGAATGCTTGTTTACGATTATCACCAAACAATACACGCAGCCACCACAAAAACTTAACAGAAAACCCTGATCATTTTATCACTTGTTCATGGCAAGATAAATCGATATGTAAACAATTCTTGAATTCTAATAAACATACGTAGGAGTTTATATTTTCATTTTGTTAACTGTCATTTTCGAGATATTTAGGGCGCTTCAGTATTTGTGATTTATTCAAGCCATGCATATGAGTCAAATCTCAAATGCATGGATGACGAGAACATCGATAGTCAAAGGATCGTGAAAATTTGGAGATGGACTTTCCAAATTGTATCCCACAAATGGTAAAGATGTTTTTGCATTAAAATGCCCCTCTAGATAAGTAGCATATGTTGAGATTGTTATTTATCTGTGGCCTATAATTTTTCGCATTTGTGATATGCTAATATGTACTTTGTTAACCTTCGCGATAAGGCGCCTCTTAATAAGCTACACTGAATTTACTATTATCAGTGAGTATGTTTGCTTTGGAAACGGCAGTTAAGGTAAAGATATGAGTGTCATAAATAAATAGGTACAAACCTATATATGTAATAGTTATTTACTGTTGGGTAATTATGGTACAACACAAAATAAAATATAACGACTGGAATGGATGAATGTTTAACATAGTAATCAAGTAGACATTGTTTTCAAGATTTCTTTCGGCAAGGATGACACAGATTGAACTTCTGTTTGAAGATAACACGTTTTTATAACATTCTATGTACAAAACAAAACATTTTATTTGTGGAAAAACTTCACAAACAGACTCCCAGTTTCCACATTATGAATTATTTACAGCATATGATGCTATTATGAAATCTTTGTATGACCTTTTGCAGTATAAATTAATACATCTACATAGCACATCAAGTTCTTTTTTATACCAGAATGCAAAATATTGTTTGTAATGTTATTTCTATGGATGCTTAGCTGGCTAATTTAATGTTCTTGTGTATCAATGTTTTTGAGATTTATTTCTTCTAGTTTTATGTAAATAATTCACTTCTTTTCCATAATTACTGGCCATCTCTTATATATATTCCTTGATTGTCCACTAGTATAGGATCTATCAAGTGCTTATATTTATCAGAATTTCAAAAAACCTATCAGCAGTCTTTGTATCTTTGGTTCATATCTTGCAGTTTTTGTGTATCAACCATAACTTATACTGTTAATTTTTCAAATTTATTTTTATACTTCTGAGATCTGTGCATAGTGCATATCTTGTTCAAGTCACTTACAGATTTTGGCATTAAAATCGTAGTTTATGAAGAATCTGCTTGTAAATGCAGATGCATACTGACTGGAAAACTAGATGAATGATATGCCTTTATCCCAGAAAAGTAGATGGATAATTCTGATAAGTTTGTCCAAAAGGTTTCCTGGCTAAACTTAAAATTCAGGGTAATTTGTCAAATTTAATTTAAAACCATGCTGATAGGCCTTTCAGATGTTACAGAGATGAAATTGTATATAAAATAACTTTTACTAACATGAAAAAATACATCCTGTTTACCTCAAAAGTTCCAATGAATAAAAGATGTAGTATGTGCTGCAAAAGGAAATGATCTACAAAGTATTTTCAAAAATCAAAAGCATTAACAACTGGTACAAATTCAGCCTACACTTGCAACTCACACATTCTATCAAATCACACAAATCACTGTAACAAAACAAAGAAATCTAAGTTTTAAGTGTTGTGTAACTAGAAGTAGGCTTCTTATCAGTGAAAAAGTTTTTCAGTATAAACACTTGGCTAAAGGCAATAAACAAAATGGCAATTGCCTCCATGATTGACCACCACAGAACTCTTTCATTCAAATCTTCTGCTCTTTTACGACCCTGGGCTTCCCTGAGTCGATGATGTGTCTGGTAATCAATTATAGTGTTCAATGCCTTGTGGATTTCTTGGGCTGATGACTCCAGCTAAAACAAAAACTCAGTTAAGTTACAAATAATGCTGGATTTTGCAAAAGCAAGTTTTAATTCATCTATAGCCTTATTCACATTATAACTGGGACTATCTCAGAACTATTCTGATTCTACAGATTTGTTTATTCTTTTAAAACAAAGGAAAAAGAAATTCTCTATCTTTAATCTCCAAAATTAAAATGTTTAATTAAACTATTCCTATATAGAACAAATGACTTATTCAAATGCAAAATGACCTACCTGTGTTAGAACTGTTACATGATCTCCAATACCAGGCAAAGGCTGTTCTTCTCCAACTTGAAAGTCCATATATACAATTTTATGTGAGAATGTGGAGAATTCATTACTGAAGCAAACTTTGTATATTCCTGTCATTGCAGAAACAAATGTATGAGAATCAAACTGCATTTTTACTTTCTTGTACATTACTGATCCTCTTGGATCCTCCAGCTCTACATCAACATCATATTGGCCCCCTGTCACCACCTGGAAACATTTTTATATTTTATTTGTTATGAACATGGTGTTGGCCCCATATTTCACGAAAAACTACTGTGGATATTTTGACATTTTATACCATGCAACTAATAAAGGTTTAAATAAAGCCTAAAATAATTAGGCAAAAAAATACTAGGAATCTACAATTCACAGTCTACCATACTGCTGAATTCAAATATAGAGCCCAACAAAATCCTTGTCAACATTTAGATAATGGAGTGTTACCTGATATTCTAATGTAGCTGTGGTATTTTTCTTTATCTCTTCGTAGAAGCATTCTTTGGAACTATCAGGTAATTCGAAAGTTAATTCGGTAGCTAGAATAGTTTTCAAAAAACCGAGCAATAATAATGATAACCAGCAATTCGCCTTCATACTGTTAAATTAAAATCTGCTCTAATCCCCTTCCTGTAATTTAGACTGGCTTCAGATGGTTGCAAAGGACATTATTGCACTAAGTACTTCGGAAAACCCCAGCGAAAAGATAAAAATATAGACGTGGATGATAATTTTCCACAAATTATGACGTCTTCAATAAAATTTACATAACCTCAATTTTTTTGAGGATCATACAACATGAAGATGAGAAAAAAATGATGAGCTGGAAGCCGGTACCGGTACCACCGGTTAATAAATAAGGAAGCGTCAATTATGTCATGTTGACCAATTAACATAGTGATTATTGGTCACCTGACAGTAAAACCTCCTCCCACTTCTGGTTCACAAGCTGAAGCTACTACATACTACATGACCGTGACCGACCTGCTATGAATGTTCCGAGAGTCATGTGATATTTTGAAAGTTGTCATCGTCATATGATCAAGATAGGAGTGTACTTTTCAGAGATTTTGAGAAAATGATTTTAAAATTGTGGTATTTATGCTGTTTAGCAACCCTTACAACAAACGGTAAGTTGAACAATCTAAAAAATAGTTGCTTGAATCTAAAAGCTTACCTTTCAGTTCATGGGGCTGGTGAATTTTCTGTGTTGCACCATCCCCCAAATCTAGTCTTCAAAGGTCATGATCACCTAAGGGAATCTACCCTCATTGAAGCATTTACAGCAGCCCTAGGCTTCTCAACAGAACACTATTCCAACTGGCAGGGCATGTACATTGAAGCACCATTTGAGCTGGCAGAAGCCATTGTAACCATAGCTGTTGATGGAGTGTCTGATATTGGACAACAGAAAGGACATCATTTTCCATTGAAGACTGATGTTGGTGAGGATAAGATTTTCCAGCATTTGGAGAGAAGGATCTCTTCTCACTTCCCCGAACAAGGGGCCAATTTAGTCAGGATTGACTTAGCTAATGGGTTAGAAGATGTGAGTATTTCGCTACAAATTTTCCTGATCTTAAAATGAAGTATAGATAATTCTACAGTTTTTGATGGCCATTGGTAAAATATGATAATACATCCATTTCTTGATTTTACAAATTATATAGTCTATTCCCAAAACATGGGGCAAACATTAGGGAGGTTTTAATAGTGTGTGCTTTGAGGATTATGAAAAAATAACTTTCTTTTGAAGATTTAAAAAAAAACACTTGCTTCCTTGTAGTGTGCTAAACTTCTTCAAATGTTGGTACATCTAAACTCTCAAATACACTAGAGTATTTCCCAATTAAGAAACAATCTACAGAAACAGTTCCAATAAAACAGCTTAAAACTTATAAATTGATAAATTCTTTCATATACACCAATCCTTTATCATTGAGTGAAATCTTGCTGGGCATCAACCTTTTCCAAAAATCAAGTCACAAAATAGAATAAATAGTTCGATAAATAACCTCTTAAAACTTAATATGCTTTGGTAAAACACCCTGTATATCATTTTTGCCTTTGCAGATCCATAAATATGGAATTTTCAAAGAAATCCACGGAAAAAATTCAAAGCATATTGCTCACAAAGCATTAAAAATTGATGTTGATGAGGATAGACAATTTTTAAAAGAAATTACTCTCCTCCATGAAATTGCTGAAAAGGTAAGATATATCATTGTTATTGATTAACATATTCTCCAAGATCACCAACCATACTGTATTTGAACATTCACTTACAATGCCATTGTCACAGCCAAGAGAATCACAGTAATTCCCTTAGAAGAAACAAAATAGAAAGATTCACTAAATTCAGTGAAAAAATTCATGCAACATGCTTTTGAGGTCACTGATAATACCTGTTTTACATTGACAATAAATCCACAGATTTCTTCATGAATTGAGTTGATGGCATAATTTTAAAAGTGTATATCAGGAATTCGATGTCAAATGAATCCATGAAGTTCTTTGTGAATTTCTACACAAAATTATAGCTTGTTCTAATTTTTGACAAGTTGGACGTGAAATTCCCTGGTGCTAACCTTGTTTTCCTTTCCATATATATTTCAGTTCAAGTATAGAATTTTGATAGATCTAAAGTATTCAACAATATGGTTTCTATCAAGAATTTCTTGTACGGTTGGCAGCATTAAGTACTGACAGATAATCAGATGTCCATCAAAACATAATCAGGATGACCTTGAACAAATCCACCTAAATAGATTCGTGAAGAAATTGTTGATGTAAAATGGGTTTAATAAATACAATATCCATTTGTCAAAAATCAAAGTGACCAATATGGCCAACATGATTGCAAAAATACGAGTATATTTGGATTATGCTCACCTTCAATTTTTGTATATTTTTGTTGTCACTTGAATTAGATATTGTTTTTTTTAAAAATCAAAATGGTGGATCAAATATGGCAGGAATATTCAAAAAATATTTCAATTTTCCAAAAAACAAAATGGCGGACTCAATATGAGGGACGTGTACGCAAAAATTGCTCAATTTTGAGTTTGTAGCAATCAGCTGTGGCCAAAATTGTTTCTTAACATGCTACTATTGGATTAAGCAGAATGTAATGGATGCTCTTTTAAACTCTCTTTGAATTAACTAATTCACTCTAAATAATGAAAACATTATCAATTACATATTGTTGGATATCGAGTTATGCCATATCATAAATATACACGCCTTCAATTTGGCAAACTATTTTGCGACATCTTGATACAGCTGGTTTTCCCAAAACATGGCACTATCCAATTGTACACTTTTTGCCATGGGCCAGTGTTACCTAATCGAAAAAGCCGAAATCGGTAGATAGTGCCGTTGAAATTCCGTAAATTCAATGACAAAATAAAGATAAGTATGTTTTTACTTTCGCGCACACATAGCACAGGTTTTTGAGTCCATCTTTTCCTGAAAAAAATATTGACTTTATTACAACTACAATAAGCATAAGGGTCGCTCTTGAAACTCCTTCGCCACGATCCTGGAAACTCCTTTCTCCATTCGTGGTTGTAAGGTTGTGAATATTTTTGATTTCCCCCTGATCTTGAAGTTTTGTCACCTGGCATTTGTATTTAATATTTAATTGGTTTCCTTATTGCTTGTCCAGTGATGATGATGGTGATTTACCCTACCTGTTGTACTCGCAATAACCAATACAGGGAAAGCGGAGTAAGGGATGTGCATACATAATTATAGGCAACCCAAATCTACGTTCCTCGTGTACCCTGTCTAAGTGTACGCCTATGTATGATTGGTATGGGGCATAAAACTACATATATGTTATCATTTTTTTAGCTTTTTTTTCGTTCCAGTTCTTTTGCAGAAAGAAAAACTGGAAATATTTCAATTATTTTAAAAAATCGTGAAACATTACCTTTTCGGTATTTTGGTAAATAAGGACCCATTTTGGTAGAAATACCGAAAAATCGGTGGATTCAGCAAGTCTCCATGGACTTTTGTAATTTTAACGTGAGCTGCGACAGTCATTCTATAATTCTGCTTATAAGGCCGTCTAAGTGGAGCTAATGTTATCGAAAGATGAATTATTCATCTCAGTAACTGTGAACAAAACTTGTAGTAAAATATGAAACGTTTTCTTGCACTTTTGTCCACTATTTTTTAGGGTTATTTTCTCGCAGGTTTAGCTTCCAATTGAGTAGGGTATCTTCTGGCGGAATATGTTAATCACTGGTTATATATAACAGCTGTATTTTTTTTTTTGTAGGGATATCATTAATTTTGAACTATGTAACTCCATTCTAGGTAGCAGAGGGTGTCATTCGTAAAGATAACATCCCTGATATATTCTGGTTCCGTTTTGACTCTCTCCATGCATTATCTGACCTCCACGGCCCAAACTCGACTGAAGCCATGGAAGCAAAACAGCTCCTCAATGATGTCATCATGCAGCTAAATGCAGCATTCACCAAAGCATATGGTGATAATGCCCTGATCACTGTCATCACAAGTGATTCTAGTCATACCAGAAAGGCTAGAAGCGTTTTGCAGTCTACACCTGGTAAAGATGATAAAGATGATGTAAGTCGAGCCTGTTATGAATGTGACATTCTAATATCTTGATTGGGATTTCTTGTTTCAGAAATCAACATACAACTTGGCGAGCTACTATAACAAAGATTACCCAGTGATTTTCAACATCATTCTGTGGTTTGGGGTGATGATGGTATTTTCGCTTCTCGCCATCTGTATTGCTATTGGCAATATGGATCCTGGTAGGGACTCCATCATTTATCGTATGACCAGCACTAGGATGAAGAAAGATAACTAATCAGCTAACAAGTTGATCTTCCTGGTGAATTATAAGATCTCTTATATGTTGAACATGATGGTCGTCATACATAGGTTCACCTTTGATGTTATAAATGGAATTTGTTCATAGCAGAATATCTGATGTAAAAGCAGTATTAATTTTTCAAATATTGCAATTTGTGTTGAGAATCCAGCTCCTCTCGTACCTAGAAGTGAGGAGTGGGATATTTATGTTATTTCATTTGCTTACCTTCCAGTTATAAGTAGGAAAATTTACTATACTGAATCTGACCAGTTACACGATACTACCTGAAAGTATCACCTTGTCAATAGTATAGATATTTCGATATTAAGAGAAATACTCGTGCGACATTGGCTTAAAATTGGAAAAGATTCGTTTTATAGAAATTATACCTCAACAGCATTCTTGTAGAATATGTGTTTGTTTGTATCTTTATGAGCAACTGAATTGTTTTTCTTTGAATACTTGTTTGAAATCATAGAGAATTTTAACATGTACATATTTATCATTATTTTTTGTGTGTACAGTGAATTGGAGCAGTTCCTCACTGTACCAAGTGTTAATGAGTTGCACATTCCTATGTGATTGTAGATGTAATTGTCCAAATAAAACTTGGAAAACAGTGTAGTACGATTTTATTAGTATATTACTACAAAAATATACATGACTGTAATCCTAAAATATGAGGCACATCAATCTTTGTTTAATATTATGCGTCAAATATTGTGCAAGTATAACATTCATTCATATACTTCTGGGAAGTTTTGCAAGCTAAATTATGGTTGGGTTGGTTTAGTTGTTGAATAGGTTAAAAAGGTGATGAAAGTTTTTGTCAGTGCAATCTTATGTCCTTTTCCAGCAATCTTACTTTGAACAAACAGATTTTTGCGATAGACACTTCTAGGTGGATTTTATTCGGGATCAGTCATCTTAAATCATCTCAAATAAAGTGGGTGTTGAGGTATACATAAAGAACGACGATAATGGCGTCTGAAGACGGAATTCATGAACACCTTAAGGCGGAGTTTGCTGGATATTTGAGGGAAAATATTGAATTTCCAACTGAAAAATCTATTGTATAATGAAATAAATCACGTAATCTTCCATGGAGGGTCCTAAAAGCTTGTTACAGTTTCTTTTTATAGTCGACTAAAAATTAACTATGTACATCTTGATGAAGTAAATTATTACAACGTTTTTCTTATTTAGGATAATAATTTCATAGCCATTCTTAAAAATATCGAATCATTTTTATAACAAGACACTTCTCTCAGTCTAACAATTTTGTGGTAGAAAATCGTGCTCTAGTCTCCATCTCGTTGGAGGTCATTTTTTATAATTTCTGTCGACCGTAAATACGAGAGCTGAAGGTGACTGTTTCCGGTGCACTGGATAACACTGGGGCCCCACATTGGGCGCAAGTGTTATCCCGCCTAAAGTTTGTTCAGTTGGTAGATATGAGACCTCAGGCTTGTTTGGTTATAAAAGTGAAATTCGATATTTTTAAGAACAGCTAAAAATTATCCTAAATAAGAAAAACGAAACAATCTACTTCATCAAGATGTAGTTAATTTTTACCATACAAAGAAACTGTAACAAGCTAATCAGCTACACGTTTTACGAATATCTTGATGTCTTCATAAAGTTATTTGTTAAGTAATCTCTTAAATCATTAGCTTTTAGAGCTCTACGCGGGGGAATTTATACGATTTAGTTTATTTAGTATCAAAAGAGAATTGTCAGTTTGAAACTTACCTAACTTCAAATACTCTGCAAACCCGTTAAATGTAAATAATTTACTCCACGGATGAACCAACCACTATAGTAGTGGTTTACACATGTGAAAATTAACCTTTGTTAGACTGCTTTCCCTATGACTAAAGTTAAATAATCATCCACTACAAAGATTTTGTATTAGGTCAGTTAATACAACAGATATTAGAAAATATTCCGAATACATCATATATATGAAATTATATCAAAGCTTATTAATATATATACCGGTATCATATCCAGATCTACAGTCGTAATGTCTTCAAGCTCTTGTAAAAGTACAGTAAGTTTCGCTTAAGTGTCCAGAATCACTATGCCTAATCAAAGTCTAGTTTGATAATGATCATTAAAATAATAGTATAGTTCACCTGAAAGTTTCTGAATTTAATTCAGTCTTCAGAGAAAAACACGAGGGTGTAAAAGAGATTCTAAATCAGTTTGGACCATTGAAATTACTTTCGATGGAGGTTTTTGACAAACTTGATTCGCTATTATAATTTTAACATCTGATAATATTGATCTTCTATATTCAAATTATCACGGCAGTGTCTAAATTATCATAGCAAATCAAGTATATAGTCATAATGCCCCACTGAAATCAATTTCAATAGTCAAAACTCATTTAGAATCAGGCCCATACTGATAACTTTCGAGGAGCCGATAAATTATTCCTAAAGTATCACTACCAACGCTAAACTAGCCTTTGGTGACATTACAATGTTTTTCTTAAAAAATACGTTAATATAAAGAAGTTATTTTACTATAAGGCACTAATAAACATCACAATCCTACATCTCATACAAACTTTGTGATGAAGCTACACCAAAGTAACTTTAAGGAAGGTGAGTACCAAGAAGATTGAAAATAGGTTATTAGCTTTTGAATATTAAATTAAATAGTGCGAATAGATTGGGGTTGACAAATTGATAAAAATCTTTCTCCAAAACAAAATACAAGCACAGCCTACAATGATAACCATATGATTTAGCTGTAATTTGATCTCTCCACTAAAATATATGAGAAATTTTTAAATTGAATATCATTGTCAAACATAATGATTGTACTACACACAATTCTTTTGATCCTATTCTGAAGAATAAGATTATTTATAAAAGCAACTGCCTGCAACACACTGTAACCCACCATTATTCCTTCAAGTAATCAGTTGTAATTATAAAATTTTAGTAATACCTTCATTCAATCTAATAGTGCAGCATTGTGGTTTATCTTGTATTATGGTGGATTTCAGAGTTTGATGGCTCAATCAACAAGATAATTATCAAAGCATATAAGAAATTTTCACTTCAATATGTGAACATGCATAGATACAGAGCACTACCTAACGATACATTACATATATTTTAAATAGAAGCGATGTTTAAATAAATATAGACTGCATAGAAGTTGCACTTTACAGTTTGTAAGATATTGCACCATTGATTACAATCCATTCATACGAATTTGTTGAATGCATTCACATCCCATAAGACACTGAATGGGGAGTTTTAGATGGAAACAGACATAGGGACAGGTAAGAATAATAAAAGGGTGAGTTAGAAAATAAGCATACTCATATATGAGCATTTGTTCAGCTATTTACCATATATACATTGAAAAGGTTAGTGTCTCATAGATGGCGCTATATATATATACTCATACAGTTGGCTACAGCTCCACCTATGAGACAGTAACATTTTCAAAGCATATAATAGCAAAAAGAGGAACAGCAGTGACAAATTTCCACGCTACGGTATCTCATTTTATCTCGGATAATTTTTTTGATGCGGGAATATATCAGGTAGAATATGTTAATCAATGATATAACGTTTTCGAGCTTTTGGTCAATGCCGTTATTCAATCAGGTTCAAACGTTAGATAAACATTTTAGCTTGACAAGGCCACTATAGGCTGAATAGAATATGTTTACTTTCCGTCTATGTGACCATAACCAACTGTATACAACGTTGTTTCATACTTTTAGCAATTTACAGCAATTATCAGTATGGTTTAGGTCTAGTCATTGGAAACAGACAATGGTAAGCAAACAAGGGAATATGGATATACTGAAAAACTCTGTACATAGTGCCAAAGGTGAGACTGCCATTTATGAAAATATGGCAAAACGCGCTACCGACCACTACGTCGGCAAGAGAAGATTAGATGCATTTCTCAATATCTCTGAATGAAACAGATAAGTGTCGTCCACCATATAGGCGTCTTCTCACTCAGGGGAGCACTAAGTGCTCACCAGAGTACCGGCTCTAAGGTACTATGCACAAGTTGCATAAACTAAACATACTGAAAACAATCTTTTTGTTTTCTGTATTCAATGTTTCATTGAAACGGACTGTCTTGAAGATGCCGGGAAACGCATGCAGTTTTCTACTATCGACGTAGGGGGCGGTAGTACCGCGTTTAGGGAACTACTGATAGGTGGCAGTGTCAAAGAAAAAAACGTCATAACGGGTGTGTCGAGTGAACGGTGGTTATTCAGAAAGATCCGATAAGTAAATAATTTTACAAATTGCTGACTACGCCATATGCGGATAAACATGAAACAGACCAATTTATTTGCAACTGACAGCTTATGTAGGTGTGCTAGCTTTCTTGGGTGTAGCAGCTTCGTGTTGCCTTCGTAGACGTCTACGGAATTCCGCGGGGAATTTTTCGTAACATTTTTTACACACTGGTTTAAGATCACACTCGTAGAACTTGGTTTTCTGGTTCATCTTCTGATCGCAAACTGAGCAGGCAAAGTGATTAACGCACCAGGCCTTATTCAAGGCAGTAAACACTGGAAGAAAGGTCGACTTTCAGATAGAGTTCACGCAGGCGTTTATCAAAATTCACAAAGTTTTCAAGTTTTACCAACGTCTGAATTGAATAGAACCATGGCCACATTTTTGTGAATTGCAGATTTTTTGTACTTACCATCGCCTGCAATGACTTGATTGCAAACAAAGCATAAGTTCCCAAATAATTGATGGTAGTGGGTTTCACAATAAGCCAGCCCCTTTTTCTCATAATGACGATGGCCAAAGAATGGTTTCTCACATTTAGCACATGCAAAATGCTGGAAGAAAAAATTATTTTGTAGATTTTGTCGTATTTCCCGTTATGTCAAAAAGATTAGTCTAAATCTAAATCCTCAAGAGACTCCCTACTTCTCACTCTCAACAACCCATTTCCTACCAATTCTGCTCCACGATTGACAAATGAAGACTTTTTGATGGTCATATTTGAATTCAGCGATCCAAATTACCTGGATGTACGAATAGGAAGTTTCATTCACTTATTACAAGACGAAAATTGTCCCATACAGTCTGTAATATTTTTTCTGTTGAGAAATGAGAAAAAATCAAAACCTGCTGCATATCTGTGATCAGGGCGAAGAAACGTTTCTAGGAAATAAGATGCGCCGTTTCCACATCCGACGTCAATTTGATACTAAAACCCTCGGAGAGGGGGGAACGACCCAGTTACTACATCAAATCAACAAATAACGATTTTTTGATGGCTATATTCGATTTCAATAACCCAAATTATCTAGCTGTACCAAGTATTATTTTTTTTGTAACTAGAGACGAATATTTAAATTTTGCTCTAGTCCTACAATGTTTTGGGGTTTTCTAAAGATTATTTCCAACAAGGAATTTTTGAGTATAAGAGACTACTATACGAGGGATGTCTTTTAAGTTTTGCATATGGAAATAAAACAACACGGTAGGTAGTTTTAAATGTCTTTATTGTGTTTCTCCACCAAGATTAATACACATCTGCAAGCGCTCGTACCAATTTTCGATGCACTCGTTTGCTGGCAGATCTTCCGTTAAATACTTCCTTGTTTTTTGAGCTGTGTGCGAGCTTGCATTGTCTTGGTGGAGGATGATTCTTCTTTCGGGGTTGATTTTTCGAAGCTCGGTGATGACTTTTAGCAAACGAATGGTGGTATACCAATCCGCAGTAACAGTTCTTTGCTCATTAAGATGAATTGTTGCAATATGACCCGCTTTTGACACAAATGTCGCTACCCTCTTTTTCGAAACACTTCGAGAACGGATAACTTTTGTTGGCTTTTCTTCACCTTGGAACACCCAAACAGCCGACTGTCGTTTATTTTCTGGTTCATAACAGTAAATCCACGATTCGTCACCACGACCAATGCTGTGCACATTTTTTGAGTTTCCGGTCAAGCGTTTTTTTACACCAATTAACCCTGGCCGTTTTCTGCTCTTCAGTCAACAGGTGAGGTATCCAACGAGAAACTAATTTTCTTACTCCTAATTCTTAATGTAAAATTTTTTGAATTGAGGTCTTTGAGATCTTCAAGGACGCTTCAATCTCGCGATATGTCACATATCTATCTTCAATGATGAGTTTGCGCACAGCATCGACGTTTTCCTTGGGTGACTGCCGTTCTTGGTGCACCCACCCTGGGATCGTCGCTAAGACTCACCCGTCCACGTTTGAATTCTCCGTACCAACGAAAAATTGTCGACTGACGTGGCGCTTCGTTGCCTAAATCAGACAGTAACTCAGCAAGGCATTCTTGTTGCGATAATTGTCTCTGAAAGTTGTAATAAATTATGGCGCGAAAATGTTCTCGGTTGCGTTTCATTTTTCTAATCACTTGGTGACACTTAAAAATTCACTGTAGTGAGAACACTGCACGTATTGTTGTGAAACTTTGAATTTAAGTTTACTAAAGAGTGAGGTTAAGATTCAGTACTGACGTTCGATCCGCGCGGCCTACTATGTTTCTATATGCAAAACTTAAAAGACATCCCTCGTACAGTCATTATTGATATAATCCTGCCTAACTACGAACTGAACTGGTTAGGTCCACTATAACTCCCTGTTACAGACGGATCAGTTAATTGTAGGAAAAACCAAATGAGAGAATTTTCAAAATCGACGGCGTATCTTCGATCAGGACAGAAACTCGACTGCTGGTTAAATCGGGTACGTTGATCCCGAATTCAGCATCAATTTCGCGCTACGATCCACAAGGGTCTCAAATGGCTTTTTTTACCTCAAACTCGACCCCAAGACATCTTTTGGCAGATCATATTCGAATCGTCGATAGATTGAAACAACGGAATACGAAAATGAATATGTTGCGCTGCAAGACCTTTATGCACATTTGCGGCTTTTGAGACAATAATTAGGGAAATGATAGTCAAATTTCCCTCAAGTTTCATACGAATGATACATGAAACTTGAGCATTTTAATTCATTAGGACAATTTGGTAACAATAGACTCAATTGTATAGTCAAAAATCAATACAAGGGATTTCATAAAACTTTTTGCATACGAGGGCGGTCCGAAAAATATCTAGCGTCATCGTCCGATGGCGCCACAATCTCAAGAGAAATTTACTATCGTGCAGTACACACTAGTAGACTGCTAGTGTCAAAATTTCAACCGAATCGGACTCGTAGTTTTGTTTTAACCGCGTTTGGAAGCGAGCGTGGCCGCGGATTTTAGAAAAATGGAAAAAGAGCAATATCGGTCGGTGATTCGAATCTTGTTTTTGGAAGAGAAATCGTGCAGCGCAATCAAAGAGGGCTTGCTATGTACAGTGCTCGGAGGATAATGTGACAAAAATCCACGATCTCGTATTGGCAGATCGGCGATTGCAGGTTGCGCGAGTTAGCTAAGACAGTAGGCATCTCAAAAGACCACGTGCGTCGTATGCTGCATGAAATATTGGGCATTTGAAAGCTACGTACGCGATGAGAAATAAATCGCCACTTTTTCCGAAATTTTTGTTCTTTTGTATGCTAAATACTTATTGGACCGCTCTCGTATATCAACCATACATTTTGAGAAATCCCTGTTAGAAACTCAAAACTCCACGAAACTGAACATACTAACCTCCACGTGCCAATGCTTCCCTAAGGCAGTAACTACCCTTTCCTCGATGGGCCTTCTGCAAGCCCCACAAATTGGGATGCCCATCTTGTCGTGGCATCTCAGACAATAAAGTTCGTTCATGTCGTTTTTCGCGAAACCGGAACGGTTCCTCACCTCCCTGGCATTGGCATCAAGTTCCACACCGCACGCAGTGCAAGTGAAGTGGTACGGATGGTACACCTCGCCGCGGAACTTCAATGGTTGGTCGTCGATAATTGAACTGACAAAAATTAAGTCATGTAGACTGACTCAATACTAATCACGCTTCAATATACATTTCAGATACATGAAAGTTATAAGCATCATTAGAAATAAATGAAATATGAAGAATGCATCAATGGCACTGAACTTTTTGAAAGCATTGTCATACCTTTGACCTCCATGAAAGGACCTTTCAGGACAATTTTCATAATTTATTTATTGCACTATTTTTTGTGTTACATGTGAAACCAAGGGGTAGAATACATATTCTTGAACCCCTATTGAAACATTCTTGCACTCAAAAATTACAACTCATTTTACTTACTGGCATTTATGGCATACATATTTTCCAAGCCCCCTGGCTTTAACCTTGGCATTGCACTCGTGACATAGAGCTCTACCACCATTCTTAATGAAACCAGTGTCGGCCAGCTCTATACTGCACATTTCACATCTGAAGCATGATGGGTGCCAACTAGCATTCATTGCTTTTATCACCTAAAATTATGACTGTTATTATGGCATTCATTATAATATAATCTATTTATGTCAGTATACAAAATCATGAGGATTACTTCAGTTGGAGCCACTGCTTTGCCGAAATTATGTGTATATCCATAGCTGAAAAAAGTATCTGGTTTTCTGTTCACATGTAAATCTTTCTGCTGATGACATTATTCTTCTTGAGTAAGCACACTTTGTTATTCGTATCATAAAAATAAATGTTACTCACCCTTCCAATGATGAATTCCCCACATCTATTGCAGCAAGGGGCAAACAACACATGAAAATCATGTTCACAGTATTTGCGACCATCAAACTCATAGAAGACACCATCTCGAAATTCTCTGAAGCACTGCGCACACCTAAAGATAGATCCATTTTACAAATTATCAATACCATATTTTGACTGCATTAATGCAAACAAAATAAAAATACAGGGTTTGTGGTTCCCGGATTGATATGAAAGTTTCATCCACACTATTTCTTTACTACTTTATTTCCTTACAAGCATGTGCTTTGATATTTTTTTATTGGTACTAATCCACTCTCCTAAAGTGTTCAACATATACTTTTATTTTTAGTTGATTATTTCAAAGCTACTAGTATTTTTTTCTCTTGGGAGTGAAATATAGGCTTACACAAAGCACTGTTGGTGCCACAGCTGTCCAGTAGAATTGACAATTTTTTCCTGGGGTTCAAAACCTTCTCCACATTTGGAACAGATCATATGCTCACGAGACATGTTGGTTAAACTGAAAAATAAATAAAATTGTCCTAACTTCCATCAAAACTAACTTCAAATATCAGTTGACATAAAATACCTTCCAGGATGAGTATAACTAAATTTAGTGGAAAAAGGTGGTGTTTGGGCCCTTTTATCCATCAAGCCAGCAACATTATCAACATTTTCGTAATGGTAATAAGACACTTCTAATTCCTCCATAGATTTAGCTCTTCTTTGAAGCAAGTTGCTTTCTGAAATTAGCCCTATTTTTGGGACTACTGGAGATAGGTCCTTTATACCATGCATTTTAACTATTTTCCCAAAAATTGCTTTACAATATCTTGCCACCTAGCAGAATCTAGGTATTCTGTATAATTCAGTGAATCATGAAAAATATGGTTGAGATGACGTTTGTTTTCTCTGAGCCTTATCAGTAAATAAATATTATAGATTAGATATGCTGGAAAGCAGTTAGGGTGATTTGTTTGGCATTTGACATTTTAGTATAGTTAATGATCCTATTAAAAAGCAACTTTGTGAGTATTAGTTTAAATTCACACAGTGGTCAAATTGTTTAACCAGTGTTTTGTGAGGTGGTATAGGGCAGGTGCTTTGTAATTTGCAACATGTTTTGGACTGATTTTGATTGTAACCTGGCCTCAATTTTATAGATAAAAACTTGTATGCTCCTCTGTAAAACTATTGGCAAGTACCTGATGAAAACCTAATTAGCAATATGCTAGTAAAGTTTGTTTGATAATGAGACATTCTGAACATCATCAATGCAACCACCAAAAAATTGTTCTGAACTATTGAGAGAATTCCTATGACCTTGATGGCTCATCACATGATGTGAGGTGCTGCCACACATAATTTCCAGGATGGAAGCATCTTATGTTCTGCACAAATCCATCATGTTACTAGGAGTTGTGGGTGAAGTTTTGTATATTATGATGTGACTTGCACATGTTGTAGTCACCATTTTAAGAGAGAAATGAGATGGTAGAACCTTTGTTAACAGACAAATATTTACCACCCTCAGTGACTATAAAAAACACCAAATTATTTTTTCCAGTAGGTGATTAATTGAGTATAAACTATTTAGGGCTGTATCATCAGTCATTCCTACAATTATTGTAGGACACCTTTATGGCAGCACTCTATTTTGAGGTTATGTCACAAATATCTATTTGCATCAAACTGTTTATACCTAGTTTTGATTTATATCATTTTTTTATCAGCCAGGAATTTCCTAAAATTTTAAAAGAAAACAAATCTTCACAATAGAAGAGCACTGATGCTGACACGGAACAGAAGAAATCTAAAAATACCCCTGCCTTTCTGAAAGAGAGAAAAGACTATGAAAATCAAGGTCATAAAGGCACCCTACAACTGTAGGAATGACTGACGATGAAATAATAATAAATTCTGAATCAATTACAGCTTGCAAAGGCTTTGCACTAATTCTACAAGGTAGCAAAAATTGCATGCATATGTTAAACAACCAAGGGTGATCAACCTACAGAATTTTTCAAGCCTTCCATATCCAAACAGTTCAAGGTGAAAACACATTTTAATATTTCTTGGTATTTGTTTTATCAGCTACTTATTTTAGGTATGTCAAAATACATATTTTAATTGTTATTTTTCAGGATATAAACTCAGCAAGGCTCGACCAAAATCATAACATTACCTCTACATAGTCATCAACATAGTTGCATACAAAGTATCTACACATTAGTGTGGTCATATTTGAGAAATAACACCCACTACATAAATGTTTAGTTAAAGAAACTACTGGCAAGGTTTAATTTGTGAATTTGTTAAGGAGTTAAGTATGGAAAGTAGCACACAGTCAAGAAATCTAGATATCTATTTCAAAAACATCACCAAATACATGCTTACCCTGGCATAGGCGTTGGCGACATTTTTTTGATTTCTTCGAATCGAAATAAGAACGAAAAAGCAGTAAACTGAAAATAAACGAGTCCTTGGTTTACTTCCCTTGAGCAGACGAGTTGAATTTGAATATAACCTGTTTATAGTTTGAACAGTTTAAATTACGCATACATACATGTTGTCTGTTTTTCTTATTACGTACCTGATAGTAGATAAAAAATATATCTATACTAAAAATTACAAAATTTTATCACACTCAGTAGACTCTGTTAACTGTCAAATTTGTTTATTTTTAGAATTGTCATCACTATTTGCATGGTTGCCAAGTTGAATTTAAAATTACACATTGTACTTATTTATGGAACTGAAAATTTAGTTATGACTACAATATGCAAAGACGTAACTACTAAAAACTAAGATAACAAAGAAAGTTTTATCGGCAATAAATTCACCATATCAAAACAAATAAACACGAATAGAGTTTGTTTTTTAGCGAAAAATATATGATTTGGCAACGTTGCAAGAAGCTAAGTGCACCGTGCTGCCGGCTCAATTTAATTTACTTATTTATTCGTCGTTTACAGCCACACTTCGTACTTTAAATCGGAAGTATATGGATGATGGGGTAAGATGTGTTTTGAAGGTAATGTTTTGTTACCTCCAGTACTACTATAAACCTGACAACGTTAGTACCATGGCAGATCCTTAGTCTTTTCAGCACTGCTATTAGCAGCTGTTGTTTGATCTCAGTACAGTTGGCAACAAACAATTTGTTCTTGTTAGCAATTGACCAATCAGAATTGTCATGCCCATTTCTGCTGAATGCGCTGTTGACAGTTGTAAAACAGGAAATAGTTCGAAAATTTTATGTATTTGCTTGCCAACTTTTGTAATTAGCAAGCTTAGCAGTCACAGTGCTGTCAGAAAAGTCTTGTGTTGAATTAGGGATAGGATTGTGTTGAGTGAAAAAAGCCATAAAAAGCATTTCATGTATTAAAGAAATAAGATACAATATTTACATTACAAATAAAATTTTCCCATAAACATTCACAATAATACTTTTAGCAACTTAGTTTGACGAATTAAATTAATCCACAATATCTCAACAATTATGGGGTTTACTGGAAATTCTTAAAAAGTAAGTTGAAAACTCTATTTTTCAAATATTAAAACTTGGACAGTCTTTATGTTACAGGGTGCTTGCAAATCAAACAAACAATTTTCTGCTCAAGAACTGTAATATTCAACTTCTCAGCACCCTGCATATCCTAACAGGTAAGAGCTTTGAGGGATCTCGCATAGTATTAGCATTTTGAAACATTTATTAATTATAAGTTAAAAATGTCTGAAAAAATTGCATCCTGGAACTCCCAGAATTTATTATTATGCAGAACATTAAATGCCATGGAATAATGAAATTTAGCCTTCGACAAAAACGTAAGATTACTTTAATATGTCCCACTTTACACATTTTCTAGAAGATTGTTTAGGCTGTACTTTCCAAAGGCATATTAGTAAAATCCATATATTCCTGGAATTCATTATTCTGCTATATTTTTTTACTATCATCCACTCGCCTATTTAGAAATAATCAGCATAATTTGCTAAAACCTATTACTATTACTGTTGAAATTGAACTTTTGGCTTGTTTTGGTCAGACAAGAATGGGCAAAAGCTATACTTGCGAACAAAAATACGGATTTTTTCCATGTACGAAAATACTTTACTACAAAATATAAAGCAATCATATTTTCTACCAGGACGGTCTCGGCTCTATCGTTGCACTATCTGTTCTTTTTTGCCCATCCTATCATAAAAAAGATGTCACTAGTTACGCAACGCCCACTGTTGAATAAACTAATTATCAAATATCTCGATATCATGCTTCTAAATCGTTATTATAGTCGGGCTATCGAAGAAAGAAATTGAACACAAACATGTTCACGCATAATTCTCGTGATCTGATGTACCGCATATCATCTCCCAGTCCACCATCCTAGTTTGGCATACTATATGGACTCGATTCTGCCCACAGTTATGTCTCTGTCAGCACCGGGTGTCACCTTTTTTGGGATGATACCCACCCGGTGACTCAACTTTTTCAGAGTTGAACTGCAGACAAGATCGAAGTCTTTTCAAGACCTAGCTTCATTGTTTGAGATAATACAATCAAATAATTTGCTTTTGGCGGATACTGAAGAACTGAAATTAGCTACATCCAAATTTACTGATTTTAATGATGAGGTCTCAGAAAGAGAATTACTTTTAAAGATACCAAGGCTGCAACTACACTTAAAAGCAGCTAATGTTGCAGTTTCTGATTGGGTGTCTCTAGATTTTTTAAAGTTTATTGTAGAATGGAATTTTACAGAATCTCTTAAAAATCTTGTGATTGCACTAAAATTGTTCATGACAGTTTGCTTATCTGTACCTTCATGTGAAAGGAGTTTCAGTAAACTAAAATTAATAAATAACTATTTGCGAGCGACAATGACCCAATCGCGGCTCAGTAACCTTGGTATATCAACCATCGAACATCAGGCAATACAAAATATAAATTTGCTGAAGTTATTTCTGAGTTTGCAGCTGTCAAAGCTAGAAAGAAGAGATTTTAATTGTAAGATAAAAATATTTTTTCTGTCTTAGGGAAGTTGGTGTTATCATCGTGTGCTGCCATCTATCAAACGATGTCAGAAAAAATTTCAAACTGATTGATAGGTGTTAGTATGGATTTGGCAGCCATTCGAGTATCGTTCGGTAATTCGCTTTTTGTTTTGGATGGGAGAAAATGCTAGGGGATAAAAGCAAAGTTGGATGCTGTTTATGGGGCACTTCGCCATCTATGACCACAGTTAGTTGTTGGTTTAATAAATTTAAACGTGGGCGAACGTCCGTTTTTGATGAGGAGCGACCAGGATGCCCGGCAGACGTGGTTACCGAGGAAATCATTCAAAAAGTCCACGACATGATTCTCGCTCATCGACGAACGAACGTGCGAGAAGTAACAAAGGCCGTAGGTGTGTCGACCGGAACGGTTGTTGGATATGAAAGAATTGTCGGCCCGATTGGTGCCGCGATTGCTCACGGTGGATAGCAAGCGGATGCAGCTGTTAACTTCGAAGCAGTGTTTGAAATAAGTTAAGCGAAATCCGAAGGAGTTTTTGCGTCTGGTTGTCACCGTTGACGAAACCTGGATTCATCATTACACACCAGAAACTAAGCTACAAGCAAAATGGATTTCTCCCGGTAAATCTGCTCCAAAGAAGGCGAAGATGGTCCCATCGGCCGGAAAGGTCATGGCGACGATTTTTTGGGATGCGAACGGCGTCATCCTCATGGATTTTTTAGAAAAACGAAGAACGATCACTACAGTGAGTTATTGGACCGCTTCGACAAAAAATTGAAGGAGACACGGCCACATTTGGCGAAAAAGAAGGTGCTGTTTCACCACGATAACGCACCAGCCCATTCATCTGGAATTGACGCCACCAAACTGCAAGAATTGCGTGTTACCTAATATGAAGAAATGGCTCGCGAGAAAAAAATTAGCTCAAACGAGGAAGTCACCGCCGAGACAGAGGCGTATTTTGGAGAGTTCGACCAATCCTATTTTTTGGAGGGGTTGAAAAAATGGCAGAAACTTTGGGAAAAGTGTATCTTCCTCGTATCTTCAGGACCATGGATATATAGCAGGTGTTTTGAACTTACTTTTCTTAAGCACTACTTTACCACACCTCATATACAGGTTTTGTTCTGCGTCATTGGTCGTACTACCTATACTGTGCTAGTGATTTCCAATAAAGATGAAATGCATGTGTGTTTCTAGATAGTGAGGTTTGTAGCTCTATAAATGTTGAATGATGAAATATTGTTGCCTTTTTTAGGTTCAAACATTCTTTCGTTATCGCCTAAAAGTTTCCACATCTGGTCAACCGTTCCCATAACTAGTAACACCTTGTAGGAAGAATCTATATTAATATAATGAACTGTAACGGAGAGATATGTCCACATTTTATGTAAAATCCTATCTAGGGCATATGATCCTAGAAAAATAGTTTGGAGAAATATAAATATCAAAATGAATCACATTATCCTAAAAACCACAATACACATTCTTTCATCACAATTTCTAACAACTATATACAAGTTTTTAAAACCACAGATTGAAATTTTTTACAGGCGACAAGCTTCTTATAATTAACTAAAAAAATGTGAGTGGGTGCCAAACGTACGAATACACATTATGTCTCGTCAAGGAATATGCATAATCTAAAAAATGGGTCCAATAATTTTTCAATTTTTCTTTGAAAAGTAATCAGATTATAGTAATCTGCTACTGGGAATAAGAAATCATCAGTATTAATACCAAAACTGTATGTAACATTTTTTTTTATTTTCTAATTAATGATCTCCTTGTGACATTTATCTGTGTACATTTACATTTTCAGCATTCTTTTACATGTTTCTTGAATAAATAAAAATAAAAACATATACACGTTTTACAAGCATTTATTTGTCTATAGACAACTATCTGTTATTTAAGGAACTACAGAAGACCATATACTTCCACATAGACATTATTAGATTATTATGTCCCATGCTTGTAGTGTGTGAGTTATCTATATCTGGAATATTGGAACATTTCATGTCAAGAATAAACAGGAACTTCCATACATTCATGATTGAAAAAGTGAAAATACAACTTTAGAATTTTGTTGAATGTGCAAAGCATCTGTCAAGAAAGTCATATTTTCAACTGTATCTCCTTTATTCCTTATTTATAGTAAGAACACGAACAGCCATTTTCATTGTAAAATAGTCCTATCTGTAGTAATATGCAGCCGCCAGAAACCTGTGAATTCGAAAGGTTCAAAGACAAAAATCGATCACCTCACCAATGGCGCTACCAGGATCTAGGTCGGATAATTACTTTGCATTAGACATGAGATGTAGTGATAAAAAAATATTCACTTTTTGAGGGTAATTTTACTAACAATTCGAAATGAATGTCAATGGGTACATGTACCTGTTTATGCTACTCAAGTAAAAACGTGCTGAAAGAGATGTGGCGATAAATTCCAGAACATTCACGATAGGGGACTAGACATGAAAGAAGACAAATCCGCATATAAAGCGAAATAATACATTGATCTTTGTTCTTAACTCCCATCATACGGTAACTTTTTGACTTTTAACATTGATTTTTTAAATCTCAATCTGACATTTAAGCGTCGCCCGAACTGATGCGACCGAAATGGAATCGCGAACCAGTAAGGTAACTAGAGCAACTTGATCTCGTATTCCATTTTGCCTATTTAAGTTTTTATATCAGATACGCTTATCATGTTGTCTCGTTGACAGAGAACGTTATTTTCAGAAGAGGTTAATAAGCAGGAAACTTGAATCATAAACTAAGCCCTTGCTGGACGTGTCGCTAACAGCTTTACGAAGACGGAAAATGTCATATTTTAAAATTGAAGTTGATATTTTTTTATTTAACGGGTACAAACGGGGTATGTTTGCTGTAAATTTTAAAAAATGTCGAATGTCATGCCAAAAAAATCTAATTAGATTCTTGCGAACGGGCCTATTCTATCATGTTTTGAGTGAATTGTCAAATCTTAGAATTTGTCCCAAAAACCCGCAATGAATCACTTGTATTTCCGTCTTTGAACCTCTTTCCACACATCACCTCAATCTTCTCGCTGCACTCTATGGAGTCCCATCATAATAATCCTGACAACAGCCCTGTATTAGTCCGACTCCTCGTCCGCTCCAGTATCGAAGCCTGCCAGGTCGGCGGTCTGCAGATGCCCTTTGCTCAACGCGTATTCTATCAACGCTAGATGACAGAATATGTACTGGTCGGGCATTTGTATCGAGTACGCGCGTTGCGATCGTATCCTCTCGACGGTACCTCTAATGTCAGCAGTGCCCACATCTTCTAAGCGAGAGATGCAGATGTCCAGGGTGCAGAATGTACCTGGAAGAACGGAATATGTGGTTAACGTCGTTAGTTTTATTTATGTCAGAACTAGCCTAAACTCGCGACTTCATCGGCTTGGAAGTTGTGTAAGTGCCGTATCATCAGTCATATCTACAATAATTGCCTTTATGGCCTTCTTAATTTTCATAGTTTCGTGTCAGTGCTCTATTTTAACGTTCTTATTGGATTCTAAAAAAATTCAGGCTGAGAATACATGATTTTTATCATGTTTCATCAGCCTGAAATTTCTTAAGGTTTAAAAAGAAAACATATAACATAACCTTGCAATAGGAGAGCGCTGACGCTGACACGGAACAGTAGAAACCCAGAAATACCACAGCCTTTCTGCAGGAGAGAAAAGTCTATGGAAATCAAGGCCATAAAAGTGTCCTACAATTGTAGGAACGACTGACGATACGACACTAAAGACGAGGTCATTCGTTTTGCATTGGTGAGAGGGAGATTGCTTTTGGAGAAAGAAATGCAATGTTCAAAGTAATGGCAATGGGCATTTTTTAGTCAACATTTTAATGCAACAATACATTAATATTAAATGTGTCATCAGAATCACATAAATAAAAGGTGAAGTGTCTCACAGCTTGTATGGAATATCTCAACGTACCCTCACCTAATAACTCTTTATTCCCAGTATTATATAAAACGAATGTTGAAATGCAAGAGAACTCAATTAGGTCGGACCTGCGACAGAGCTCTTCTGCGTACACACCAGAAAATTTTTGTATATCGTTGTAAATAATCAAAAAAGCATTAACGCCACTTTATTTTCGATGAAAATGAACAAATAGAACTTTTCCTCATTTCTTTGTTTTCAAAAAAATTACGACACCATTTAAAACACGATTCTGATATAATACAGTTTGTAAAGGCCTGTATTATCCACATTTTTTCTATATCGGAGAAATAGCAAAAATGTTCTCTAATAACCTATACACTGAAAACCAAATATCACTGACGTCGTAATGTGTACTAGAGAGAAACGCGAGACGCGTGCAGTACGTGTGTTAGAAAGAGATAGAAGCACCTCGTTGTGTACACCTAGTAACCCGAGGGCCACGGACGCCCTCGTCGCACTCTTTCTAACATACATATTGGATGCTTTTCGCGCTTCTCTCTCGTACACATTACCATGTCAGCCAAATTTGAACCTCACCGTATACATAGATACAGAACTCAATGGTTGTAATAAGTAAGGAAAAGGACAAGGTCTAGACAAACAGAAAAGCTCTTCGTTATTATAAAGACCGCTTACCTGTCCTGCCGACTCCAGCGCTACAATGTACAACGATGGGCGGTCCTCTGGGATGTCCCGCCCACGTATCACCAAGGGCGTTCACCATGCTGGCCTGTTTCCTCCTCACTCTTTCCAGAAATTCTATCATCGCCTTCGCAGAGTGTGGTACTCCGTAGTCAGGCCACGAGGTGAATTGCCAATGTGATACTTCCCTAGTTTCGTCAGTCTAGAACAAGAAATGTTTTTGTTATTTAAATTTTAGTCAGTAAAGAAGTTATTATAGACAAGAACCGAAATGGGGCAAAGCAGCATAACGTATCATACACCACTGCCTTAGACACATTGAGATCCGCAGGAGTATTACCTAACTTGAAAAGTGACATGTTTTTTGATATTTTGTAAATTTTTTGTCATTATGTAAGTCGACATTTCATCGCGTTTAAGATTTAATAGGTTTTTTACGTAATAAGCCTTCCGTCCACATGTACACAGAGATACATCACGTTAGCAGTGGCGTACGATGAATGATGCTGCTTTCTTTCATTTTGATACTTCAATATTCACGTAAATGTATCTTTATGGAATGTCAAATCTTGTTTACTGTAAATCTGAAATAATTTATTGCGTATTCTAATATAATTTATTCACTGTCAAAACTGACAACAGCGGCCCATGAATACCTGGGTAGGCAGCGACAAGTGAATAGTAGTAACGATAGTCATCATCTTTGTTTTGACCTGGAGTAAACAAGGTTTACAAACCTGGACTGGCGCAACGGCCAGTTAGTTAATAATGGCCTACACTACAGCAACCCGCATTTTGCTAGCATGGTTGGTGGGTTGCAGGCTTCTAGGATAATATATAAAGTATATTTTTGGAAGACGATGTGTAGGGGAAAATATGACAGAGTATGTCCGAGTTACAGTGGGCGCGTGTAGAGGTTCAGTGGTAGCTGATCGTTGATTCCTTGAGCCAGTCAGGGTTTGAAAGGTCAGCAAAGCGGGTGCCATCTCTGGAGCACTGTCATGATCTCACATACAGAAATAAGTGTGAGTCACTGTAGCTATTACGTAGCACAAACATTGTAAAAATCTCAATCTGACATTAGCATTGCAAAAAGCGAACTAACCTAATAAAACATAGATGTTTCAATAAAAAATATTGATATTCACTATCGATGGTCATTTTTGCATTACACTGATACATCAGTGCCATTTTAAACGATGTTTTACATCAATGTTTCTGAAGAAACGGTCAAATATTTGGAATTTTTGGTACTATTAAATGAACCCTCCTGCCTGTTTATCCATAAATAATAATTTCATTTTTGTTGTTAAAGTATAGTGCAAGACAAGTTAAAATAAATTTGTTTCAAATACATCAAATTTGTTTTAGATATTCGCTAACTCATTAAGCTTACTCGTTTTACACAATAAAAAAAAAAAAACATTTTTCGATACAATCATGTTTTCTAGGCGATGACTTATACATACATCGATGATTTTTCTCAAACACTGATGGTACATCAATGCTTATCTTTACGATGTTTGCATCCCTAAGCTCTGTTCAGTAACTTGATATCTGTTTAGTACACGTGATATCTCGACTTACCCTATTATTGATAAGGTTAATCGTGGTAACCGTATAATCGGTGTCTGTTTCTACGTCGACCGTCTTGACGGTGAAGTGTCCGTAAGTTGCCTCGCCGCCCACTTCCGGTTCCCAGTACTGATGGCACTTTGGGCGACCACGCTCCATCGCCCGCGTTGTCATCACTATCACCAAAGTATGCTGCTCCCAGATCATTCGCCAGAAGTCGGGAGTCGTTTTCGGCAAAGGACCTGAAGCAAGATAACCATATGTGATATTTTGATATATTGGAACTTACTGTAAAATTATGGGGTCAAGTATGACAGCTTGACAGCTAAGTGCAGCATCAGGAAGGTTACAATTAACGAGTGATTGTAAATTGAGCCAGCACATTCGCCGTCAAATTGTACAGGGCTGAACTATACTTCAGCGCATATCGCAAATATTACATTTCTTATTTTAAAATGGAAGATTAGGATGTAACTTTACATATGGAGCTCCCCTTTAAAGTATACGTCAAACCAGAGTCTAGGTGATTATTTTGATAAATCACAATGATTGATATCAAGCAGTGATCAAGTCTACGTCACTACTACTGCTGTTGCAGCACTTCCGACCGGAGATGGGTGGATCAGAGTATTTTTTAATTCTTACTATAACGAAATAATTATAGATCCTTACCTTGGGTATTAATGAAGGCATTCTTCTGTTTATATCCATCTACGAAGTTTGCGTGTATATAATCACTATCTTTATCATTGTCGAGTTCTGACAAAATTACCCTACTGTGATCGTAGCATAGTACGTCCGTATACCTATTTTTTGGCAGGTTATTTTTTGATTTAGTTACGTTGAAGGTTCCGTCGGGAGGCCTTAACCTGCAACAAAACAATATAATTAGTTATATAAGCACTGATTTTCAAAAAGTACTATAAAGTGAAAAATAACAAAGTAATGCGTAGTAGTACAGATCATAGGCGAATGTCATACGATCAGAATTTTCCGAGATTCATACCATCAGTATTAGAAAGCTTTTAGTGATCTTATTTTGCTGCTTTGTTGTGATCTTCCTTATTTCGATTTTGCGCAGTAGCGAGACGATCCTCCGTTATCTGTTATCGAAATAGGAAAGATCCGTTAGCTACGAAGAATAGTAGTAGTAGTAGTAGTAGAAAGATTTATTTAGCACATTTGGCTACATAAACAGAGTAATTGTAAACAACTTAGTAAATTCAAGCCATATGGTGTATGATGTAAATGCTGGGCAACCTATAATTGTGATTTCCCAATTTTACTTTAAATTTTGTCAAAGTTTTCTGGTCTTTTATCTCTGAGTATAATTTATTATATTCAATCAACCCTTGATGGAATACAGATTTGTAGCATATGTTATACTTTTTGGTCATTAAATGGAAGTCATCTTTATTTCTGGTATTATGTAAATGATGGTCGGCATTTGATGATGTTAAATTAGTTAGACATGATGGAAATATATTATTTTTTACTTTATAAATAAATATCATTACAAGATATTTGATAAAATTTATTACATTGAGCCATTTTAATTTGCTAAGCATTTGCCTAATTGGAATATATTTATCTTTATTTAGTATTATTCGCATGCACTTATTTTGTAAAATTTGCAGTCTTTCAAAAATGGAATTATTTGCTAAATATAGAATAGTCGAACAGTACAAGAAATTTGGAAGAATGATGGTATTATAGATAATTTTTCTGCTATATGAACTAAGACATCCAGAAACTCTCGATAAATATCCCACTTTGTGGGACAGTATGTACTGTCAAATTACTACGGTCCGCTTTAGTGATCATAAAAACTCTTGTTTTTCCAAGCATCCTCATTTGATATAGATGTCAATATTAATGCAACGAAAGGCTTAAAGGTTGGTTATTTTTGTTGCAATAAATCTCTCTATTTACTGATAATTACGTCAATGGATTTCCACGTAACCTCAATAATTATTACTGACGTTCAGTCTAAATGGTCAATAAATGTCGCATTCCATAATACATACTGACGAATCACAGTAAATACTGATCTTGGAACATTCGCCTAAGAAGTAAATGCGTAATTTTTAATTTTCGAACGTCACCCAGCCTCTTGTATTTGTAGCAGCAACAGCAACCTTGCAGAAATCTAGGCACAAAGTAATCCTTCAAAGAAATAGTTAAAAAAATGAAAGCGGGTTCTCAAAGTTGGGACTTTCCTTTACCGAACGTACAAAACTTTAAAATATCCGAAATCAAAGAATATTCAGAACGTCGCCGTCGTCCTCGATGTTTCTTTCCATCGGAGCTGCATATGTTTGTTGATATCCTACAAAAGCCGTCTGGTTGAACACAGCTGAAGACCTAGATAGCCCCAAAGTTGCAAATTTAGGAAGAGGTAAACAAACTCGTGCTTTTTAGTCAATCAACGACAACTTAAAGCAGTGTTTATAAACAAAACATCTGACAGGACAGTAGTTGAAATTCCTTACCAAATGAACAGTGAGTACTTTTCTTCAATTTCATTTTTACGTCTTCGGTGTTGTTTTTCAGCAAATTAGCTTTGCTATTGCAAACGTCGACTATGAAAAGTCCCAAATTCAAGGACCCGTAAAACTACTCACCTAATCTCAGCATACTCCTGGATCAATCCCGCCCTTCCCCGATCCCTAACATAATCGACCAGCTGCGCGGCAGTGAGCGCCGCCCCGTCTCCGTGCAGCGAATCGTCGTCCGAGAATCCGCTGGAGGCGGAGCTACTGCCGGCACCGCCCCCGACAACTGGGCCAGCCCCCACAACGGGTCGGCCGTCTTCGATCGCCCAGCCGTTGCTGCGGTGGTGGGGATGACCGTTCTGCTGGCCCGCCTCAAAGTCGCTGCCGGGATCAGCGCTACCGGGAGTGGTAGCGTTTGATGGCGAAGATGGGGCTTTGCCATCTGGAAACAAGGAAAGTCGTTGTAATGTATTATCAAACATGGAGGTATAACAACAAAAATATGTCACATATGGTAGCGATTTATAAACGTGTTTTGAGTCATCAATGGTCGGGAGTCAAGCTACGTCACAGTGGCGTAGACTACGTTGTAGCTCGAATTGTTCATTTTTTGTCGCCGCGAAAACGAAGGAAATTAAAATCACGCATAAGGGGCCGTTAAAGAATTACGTAAGCAATTTTTTACAATTATTAACCCCACTTTCGCTTGTAGACAAAAGTAAGCTAGTCACTTACACCCCCTCTCATGCTTACGTAAACGTGGCACATTTTACAATTTGGAGCAAGTATTCGCTTTCAATTTAAGCACATCTTGTGAATTTAATTTACTAATAATACTCTTTTATTATAGTAAAATCACAAATACATAGTAGACTGGTAGCAAAGTGTAGTCTTCTTAACTATCAGCGAGTACACCCTCGAAGAACTAAAAAAAAAATAATAATATTTTCCTTGAGAGCTGGTACAAGTCAAGATAAATATTACACAAAAAGTAAGCAAGCAATGGAATATAACTAAATATGTAAAAAGTCTGGTTGAAGAAGTAGATTCCTAATATAACTGGAAAAAGGAAGAATTTAACATATGAATATTGAAGCCGAGTCATAATTTTCACTGTCCATCAAGTAACTGTTTTTTTCATTTATAGTTAAATTTATTGACATTTAATAATCTAAACTCTTCTGGCAGCAAATTGTATGCTCTGCTGGCATTATAGACAAAAGATCTACAAAACAAGGCAGTTCGATGTTGAAGCATAGTGAAGGTCAATTTACTTCTGATGTTCTCACAATGAATTGAAAAACGGGTTGAAAAACCAGCGCATAGAGAATCACAAGAGTAGATGTCATTCACAAGTTTATGAGTGAATATGTTTAAATGAAGATGAATTCAGTTGTAAATTATGTGAATGTGAAAGTGTTTTGATTCGATTCAACCCATTATTAATAGTAACCTCGGCAATATGAGATTCCCCGGAGTAAAAAACTGAAATAATATAATAACAAAAAGAAAAAATGTACAGAAAATCATAGTATTCGTGTAACTTCTGGAGTCCCGCAGGGTACGCACTTAGTCCGTTGTTATTTATTATAATTATTAATGATCTTGTGAGTTTAGTATGCAGTGAAATTCTTTTATTTGTGGATGATTTTAGGATTTTTAGAGTTGTTGGGAACAAAGATGATGTCAGCTGCAAAGAGACTTAGACCATATTTTTCATTGGTGTCGAGTAAATAGTTTCCGTTTAAATGATGCGAAATCTTTCAAATTTACATTTTTTGGTCTCGTACTTCTATTACTTATTTTTATAGCAACAACGGTAGATCTTTACAAATTACAGACCAGATCAAGGACCTGGGTAAAGCCTCCTTAGGTAGATTGCCCGATATCCTACGCACAAAGGAGCAGTCGTATCAGCCAGTTCTGGATGTACGAAGTTCGACACGGCACTAGTGGTTGGTGAGTGCTTACCGTAGTTGGAGATTGGTGAAGAGTCCGGCGTCCTGTTGGTGGTCATCGCCTGGAGGCAGTGCGCCAGCCATCCGTCATGGTCCAGAGCGAGCGTGCCGCCAAGCTGCGCGGGCAGCGCCTCCCTGGGCACGTGGCTGCTCAGCTGTGCAGCGCTTACAGTATACACGCGTTCGCGCAGCGTAGTATTCGTGTAACTTCTGGAGTCCCGCAGGGTACGCACTCGGTCCGTTGTTATTTATTATAATTATTAATGATCTTGTGAGTTTAGTATGCAGTGAAATTCTTTTATTTGTGGATGATTTTAGGATTTTTAGAGTTGTTGGGAACAAAGATGATGCTGAATTGCTGCAAAGAGACTTAGACCATATTTTTCATTGGTGTCGAGTAAATAGTTTACGTTTAAATGATGCGAAATCTTTCAAATTTACATTTTTTGGTCTCGTACTTCTATTACTTATTTTTATAGCAACAACGGTAGATCTTTACAAATTACAGACCAGATCAAGGACCTGGGTAAAGCCTCCTTAGGTAGATTGCCCGATATCCTACGCACAAAGGAGCAGTCGTATCAGCCAGTTCTGGATGTACGAAGTTCGACACGGCACTAGTGGTTGGTGAGTGCTTACCGTAGTTGGAGATTGGTGAAGAGTCCGGAGTCCTGTTGGTGGTCATCGCCTGGAGGCAGTGCGCCAGCCATCCGTCATGGTCCAGAGCGAGCGTGCCGCCAAGCTGCGCGGGCAGCGCCTCCCTGGGCACGTGGCTGCTCAGCTGTGCAGCGCTCACCGTGTACACGCGTTCGCGCAGCTTCTCGCGCACGAACAGGCGCAGGATCTTGAACGGCGCCTTGAACCACAGCGGCGCGGTTACGATCAGCACCTTTTTCAGCTTCGCCGGGTATCCGCCCTGCAACAAATGGACATACGTCAGAACAACTGCGAAGCATATTGTATAGGTATAAGTCCTTTAAAAGTTCCTTTAAAAAAAATAGCGTCAAAGATGTTGACCCTGTATTTTCTACGCAACACCGTTAGCAATTCTATAAAAAAAATGACTACCAACATGTATAACAACAGAACTTAATGGATTGGATCAAACAGGCCCATACCATTAGATCTGACAACATTGCGATCTATCCTACCGCTCTAGTGACAGTACCAAACATCCAGCAACTTGGAAACTCTGAATGCTGCAGAACTCGCAAAATCAGTACAGCAGCGTTGCAAATATGGATTACACGCAACATTAGCTCAGCATTCGAAGCTGATAGACATAACAGTAATGGACAAAAGTATACAGGGTTATCCAAATTAAGTGTCCACCATTAGTAACTTTGTTATTAGTGAAAATACAAAGTTGTTTGAATCAGCAAACTAGTAGCATTTTTAACGCTAGTAAAAATGAGAAATAAAAAAAAACAATTGAGAGTCGTTATTTTGATTTTTTTCAGTAAAATAACATTTTTTTAAATGGAAACCCCTGTATATTATATTTTTTTCTGTTAAAGCATCAAATTTTAAACAAAAAAGCTTACAATAACTTTTCTCCTAGGTTACAAATTGTTGAAGTTATGGCCTCCAATCTGAAACAATTAAATTGTACCGACAAACTTTATTTTCAACATCAACTTATAATCTTACAAAATACAATAACAATTTTTTTTAAAGAAGATGCTCGAAAACACCACCTTGTTCTTCAATAAATTTTTGGGCACGTTTTTGAACTGCTCGAACTGTCTTAAGTATGGTCCTACCATCTATCTGGGTTATCTTTTCCCTAACTGCAGTCTTTAACGCGTCAAGGTTATCGTACCTTCGCTTGTAAATTTGGTTCTTTAAGTAACCCCACAAGAAGTAATCAAGTGGGTTTAGATCTGGTGATCTGGGAGACCACTGTATTGGGCCATTTGTTCCTATCCACTGATCATTAAAAGTAGTACTTAGAAAATGATAAGTACCTCTGGAGTTGTGGGCAGGTGCGCCATCTTGCTGAAAATGCAGATGATGTCTACTTATAAGATCCAATTCGTCTAAGAAATTAGTCAGAATTTCTGACATAAATTCCACATATCTTTCACCAGTTAGGGTTCCCTCATAAAAGAACGGGCCAACAATTTTTGAACCAATTATACCGCACCAAACGTTGAAACTGAAACGGACTTGTGAGCCTCTTGGATGTACTAACAAAAGATTTTCTCTTGACCAATAATGGTGGTTTTTTCTATTAAACATTCCAGAATTTGAAAAATTTGATTCATCTGTCCATAAAAGGTAACGAAAGTTATTTACATTTTGGCGACAGAAGCTAAGATACCAATGGCAAAAAACAAATCTTCTCTCTGGATCCCCTGCCAAAAGCGTTTGAACTGGTCGGTACTTATACGGAATAAATTTGTATTTTTTTAAAATCCTTTGAACAGTACCATAACTGAAATTAGAGTCCTTGAGAATATCTGCTATTGAATTCTCACGATAAGCTTCAAAATATCCAATAACTGCAATTTCCGTGGCCTCGCTTATTATGAATTCTTTTTTTGCCCTTGTTTTAGCAAAAACATTTTCGTTGCCCCTAAATTTTCGATAAAGTCTCAGAAAATATCGTTCATACGGTTGAATGCGAGCGGGATATAATTCACTGTAGTATTCTCTTGCTCTCAAGGAGGATTTTCTGCACACTAAATAGCATTCTAACATATCACACTTTTCTTCATGGGAGAACATTTTTCTTTAAATTAATGACACAATAAAGCTTATAAACAAGTATTTACACTAATGTTTGACATTATTTGATTTTATCATTGTTTTCCAAAGCCTTCTAGTTGCGAGTATGTCCAGTTTAACAATTTGTCGCTTATCTTAATGCTGTCAAATCGCGAACGCCATGTTGTTTTCATAGCCGTCTTAATATTATAATACTGCAAATAATTAAAAATATTTATCGTTATTTTGACTTTAGCGGAAAAGTCATTATGAACTTTTTTGTTTAAAATTTGATGCTTTAACAGAAAAAAATATAATATACAGGGGTTTCCATTTAAAAAAATGTTATTTTACTGAAAAAAATCAAAATAACGACTCTCAATTGTTTTTTTTATTTCTCATTTTTACCAGCGTTAAAAATGCTACTAGTTTGCTAATTCAAACAACTTTGTATTTTCACTAATAACAAAGTTACTAATGGTGGACACTTAATTTGGATAACCCTGTATAGACAAATATGAATATTTACCTAAATACATTTAGAAAACGAATTCATACTTCATTGCTCCATAAACAAATGCGTTATTAGTAGAAAAACTAAATTACTTGTTTTTACATTATCTGCATTGAACACAATACAAGTCTGAATACAATCACTTTATTATGAGGGACAAAAATATGTAGACAAATCCTTTTCAACATTAGTTTAGTACAGTTTCGTGCTAGAAGAGGATTAGTTTGTGTTCATCAAGTATTATGGAATAAGTTGAGTGATGATGCCGCGTGGTCCAGAAATTTCTATCGATGTGAAAACTAAGATCATTGAGTTATACGAAGATAGTCAACATCAAGTCGACATTGCCAAAAATTTGAAGCTGAAGCGTAAAGCAGCTTGGGCAATATTGAACAAATATAAACAAAAAGGTATCTTGGAAGCCTCTAAGAGAAGTGGTCGGTCTAGAAAACTAAATGCTAGATCAGTTAGATTAATAAAAGAAATTTCGTCCGAAGATCCGTTTAAAACCCTAAGACAAATAAAAGCCGAAATCGAGACAAAAGGAATTGTCAGTGTTTCTACGAAAAATATAAGTAGAAGATTAAATGATTTGCAGTTATTTGCACGTCGCCCCAGTAAGAAGCCGCTAATCTCGAGGAAAAACCGTAAGGACCGATTACAATTTGCACGGTTGCATTTTGATTGGAGCATCTGTGACTGGAAGAGGGTATGTTTCAGTGACGAATCCAAGTTCAATATGTTTGGATCAGATGGTGTTCATTATGTTAGACATCCTAGTGGACAAAGATTGAACCTCAAGTACAGTTTGCCCAGTGTCAAACATGGTTTGGGGGTGCTTTTCGGAGTTTGGGATGAGACCTTTACATAAAATAGATGGCATTATGGATAAGTTTATATACCCAGACATACTAAAGCATGTCATGTTACCTTATATGGAAGACAAAATGCCCTTAAGGTCAATCTTCCAGCAAGAAAATGACCCGAAGCACACTTCAAATCTCGCAAAGAAATTCCTTTCTGGATGAAAAAATACCAGTTCTCAAATGGCCTTCACAGTCTCCCGATATAAACCCCATTGAAAATCTATGGGAATACTTAGATAAGCAAACACGAGATAAAAATTATTCAAACAAGGATGAACTTTTTGACGCTTTAGAGCAAAAGTGGAGACAGATTGATGAATCTTATATCAAGAAACTTCTACAATCTATGCATGCCAAGACGATGCCAGGCGGTGATTGATAATACTGGTTATGCTACAAAATATTAAACAAACATGGTTGGTAATTCTATAATTCAATGAACTTTGCTTCTTCTTTCTATAAATTGTTTTGCTTTGTCTATATATTTTTGTCGTTCATAGTTCCAGTATTTTCAATTAATTTTTTATCGAAGGGAGTCTAATGAATTTATTTATGTATAAGTGAGAATTATGCTATAACGAATTATGTATACACGTTGGTCTATTAATAAAATAATTTAAAAAAGAACTACAGCCTAATATTAATTTGTCTATATACTTTTGTCCATTACTGTATGTACGCTAGTTGAGTTAACCGGCACGCGTATATTGAAAATATATCTTTATCATTCGTGTTAACGGCGAATGTATGAGGAGTCTACGTCGCATGAAATATGTCTAGTATATGCGTAGTATTACCGGGGTCGGGAACGTATAGATTGCTAGCACTCACATCATACTCTGTGCCACCCCCTACAACCCCCGCAAAAAAATTCTGAAAATGATCAGGTTCCCCTGAAATGTCCAAAAACGAAGCTTGAGAGATTTTTATTTTTTCCGTTTTTCACAAAGCCTTTTCGTCCTTAGCATAGAAGTATCCTTGTGGATAATTTTGATCAAAATATGATAATGAAAATGTTGATATTCGACATAAACAGCTTTTCCAAAATTCAATTGAAAATGTGTTTTTCACCATAAACAAACAGTAACCGCTTGTCGAGAATTTTTCCATCAAATCAGAGCAACGATGTTAATCGTCTGAGAGCTGCGGCACTGCGTTTGACTAGATTATCATCATTTTCCGACGGCGCCAGACCTAATGAAATTGCAAAAGGGCGCCCGATAAGCTTCGGCAGTATTTCCAAATTTTCAATTTGTCGACCGAGTGGCAAATCGACTTGAATTTCCGCCCGAAGCGGCTATGGAAAATCTCGCCCATGAAACTGAAAATTATGTTGAAAATATCTCGTTATACATTAGGCCGATACATTCATATTTTGGATAATATACTGGTTGCATCCATGTGATTTTAGAGCTAAAATAGTAGTCAAAGGAAACAGTACAGTTGAGGCGGCTCCAAACACCAGCGTAAGGATTGGATCCCATACATATTTAAGAAGTTGGATTACCTATACATATAAATTTTACAGAATTTATCTTATTCTGTTTTAGGAATTACTTTAAGCCTGACTGCAAATCAAATTCTCGAGCTTTGGGCTGAGAGCTGTAGATCACAGTTTACATCAGATTATTTCACAGCCACTGGACAGACTCCTAGAGTCCATAAAGATTTTTTGACATTGGAATAATAGTATCCTATTTTCATACTGTCAAGAAAATTTGAATGGTATCTGATTTATTGATGGCTGATATTTTTAACAAGTATAAAGCCATTGTAATGACTCGTTTCAAAAAATTTCTGCTATTGAAATTATTTCATGATTACGTC